CTCTGTACGCAGCTTCATGCATTCAGCGTTAAAAACAGGAATCAGGAAGTTTGGAATCAGCAGCCTCCAAACACCAAACTGTTTACTCTCCTCAGTGTAAAGAGCAGCATGGAAGTGGGTAATGATCTATATAATGATAACAGGTACATGGATGTTTAATACCTTTGACTTTTTGTCTTTAACTTTCTCATACACTAATTTCAGTTTACAGTGGCAGTAGATATTTGGTAGCTTAGCCTCTGTACTTTGTTCATCAGCTAATTTTGGAGTTTTTACTCCCATATTCACTTAGAGTATTACGCATTAAGAGTGAACATACATGCATGTGACATCTTGTCGAGCACAAGTGTGCATGGAGCACAGTTAGACCCCAAAAATATTTTTGCTGTGATTACTTTGTAACAACGACTCTCTGAAAAAGATAATATATATATTTTATTTTTCTATTGAATAGATTATAAAGAAAAGATAAACATAAAACCAAGAACTTGACTTTTCACTGTCAGCCTTTCATAACCTTTTCCAGTAGAGGCAATTCAATTCCAGTCCTTAAGAGCTGACTGTAAAAGCGCCCATCAAAATAACATTCATCATCAATGTTAGCATTATGGAGAACCACATTAGCAATCTAAAAGCTAAGTGCTCCCTGGTATAATGCACTGACAAATAAAAAGCGGTGTGCAGATCGATATTGAAATATCGATTCTTCTGATACCAGTAATTTATGTTCTAGAATCGATTCTCATATTAAAATATCGATATTTTAGTATTTTGGGGTAAATTTGTAGTTTTTCATTAACAGGAACACAGTGGAAAGAAACGATATCATTCAGATCATCTGTTTGCTTCCTCCTACGCCTTTCATAGTCATACAGCTGTATAAATGTGTCGCAGTCCCTGGCATGTGCACTTACGACAATGACTGAGCGCACAACTTCAGGTTTTTATTTCTATATGATAAATCTGCATTATTAAGCAACAAGAACAAGTAGTGTGATGTCCTGTAATCATTATGAAGCTATATTATTACAATTACATAATACAACTATATATTGTATTATAAAATACAATTAAACATTCCTTTTTTTTACAGAGTATCGGTATCGGATCAGTATCGTCAATACCAACCTGAATTTTACTTGGTATCGGATCGGAAAGTAAACCAGTGGTATCGCACATCACTACTAATTGTTCTTTTTCAATACTGTGATTCCAGTTCAACTTTAAGGACAATAGCCTCCTCCACAGCAGAGGAGCTGAAGGTTAGGTCATTACATAAAAACATGTTTATGCCAGGAATGGTGTAATCTTGTGTATCATTAGCTGTGTGTGGTGTTACATTATCTGTAAGACTAGACTTCTCACATATACTAATTAGAATTCTAGAAGTCACAACACAGATACTGGAAAAAGTAATAAGAGTTATAAAAAGTAGACATGCATCCACAAACACACACCGCTTGTTCACCCTCGTTAGTTTATCTTCGAGACACCACTTTGATACCATAATTAAGGTGACAAAAATTTTGATAAAGTCATCTTGGCTTTTCTTATCAACAAGCTCCAGAAATTTGGATGTTGAGACTCGCTCATTTAGTGGATCAAAAATCTTAACCACTCAACATCTGTAGCTGTAACTAATAACCACACCTCGACTCAGATTCACATTACAGTCAGGTTGAGGTATGTGACTATCTCTAAGTAAAACACACATATAACTGGTATACAATCAAGTCCCTTTCACCATAAAATCAGCTATACCGGTGACATTCTGTTACATTATTGGTCAGAGCGCCCCAGGGTGACTGTGGTTACAATGTAGCTACCATCACCAGTGTGTGAATGTGTGTGTGTGTGAATGGGTGGATGACTGGATGTGTAAAGCGTTTTGGGGTCCATAGGGACTAGTAAAGTTGACTATGGATCAACTGTTTAAGGGGAAGAAAGGAGTCCTCTTCGCTGTACCTGGAGCATTTACACCTGGCTGTTCCAAAACTCACCTCCCAGGTTTTGTGGAGCAGGCTGCAGAACTGAAGAATATTAGTTCATATATAAAGCATATAGTTAGGGCTGGACCAGGTGACCCTGAATCCTCCCTTAGTTATGCTGCAATAGATGTAGGCTGCCGGGGGATTCCCATGATGCATTGAGTTTTTCCTTTCCAGTCACCTTTCTCACTCACTATGTATTAACAGACCTCTCTGCATTGAATCATATCTGTTATTAACCTCTGTCTCTCTTCCACAGCATGTCTTTTATCCTGTCTTCCTTCTCTCACCCCAACCAATCACAGCAGATGGCCCCGCCCCTCCCTGAGCCTGGTTCTGCCGGAGGTTTCTTCCTGTTAAAAGGGAGTTTTTCCTTCCCACTGTCGCCAAAGTGCTGCTCATAGGGGGTCATATGATTGTTGGGTTTTTCTCTGTATCTATGAAGCGCCTTGAGGCGACTTTTGTTGTGATTTGGCGCTATATAAATAAAATTGAATTGAATTGAATTGATATGATTCAATATTAAGGCTACGTCCACACGTACACAGGTATTTTTGAAAACGGAGATTTTCTGTTTTCGTTTATAAAAATAATCCCGTCCACACGTAAAGGCAGAAATGAAGGAAAACGCTGCTAGGAACATGCCAAAGCAGCAGGTGGCGCTATATTCCTAACCGTGTAGAAATGTTGGCCAATCAGAAGTCTAGAAGCCTCGGTGGGAAAAAGTAACAAAGCTGGGGCATAGAAGCAGAACCGAGTCGTATGTGTGGAGGGACAGTAACTGTGTGTGTATATGTAAGCATTTAAACACTGCAGAGAGAACAATTAACAGTAACAGTATTGTAGAAATTCATTTCACTGAAACAATAACGTGGCGCACAGTGTGACGTCAAAAAGACGCACACCTTTGACGCAGCTTTTTCTGCGTTTTCTCCGTTTTTCTCGTCCACACATAAATGCAAAAACGGAGTTTTAGAAAATATCCACCCTGGCCGGAGTTTTTAAAAATCTCCGTTTTCAGTGAC